CTAGAACTTGACCTCTTTTAGCAGCTTTTACAGTAAAAAACTCCGGTTTTAACAAAATACGATCAGAATTGTCGTTTTCTACCCCCCCTCTGTGGTCTTCTCTCCGAGAAAGCTTATCGGCCTTATCGTTGACTACACCAGGCTTATGTTGGAGCGTAAATTCATACTCCGCCAGGAATAAACTCCATCTGGCTTGCCTTCTTGTCAACTTTTGGCTCGTCATAAAGTACTCAAGATTCTTATGATCCGTCCAGATCTCCACATGGTGAGGCTTTCCCTGCACATAGTGCCTCCACTCCTCCAACGCTCGAATGATTGCGAGTAACTCTTTGTCATGGATGTCATAATTTCTTTCTGCATCGTTCATTGACTTAGAGTAATACGCTATGGGGTGCCATAGGTCATCTTCCATCAGTTGAGATAGAACCGCTCCAGTTGCGTAATCAGAAGCATCGGTTTCTATTTTCATTTTTTTCTCAACGTCAGGCATTACTAGGATCGGAGCTGATGTAAACCTTGACTTCAGTTCATCAAAAGCATCTTGCTGTTTCTCCATCCAATCCCATTTAACATCTTTCCGTAGTAAATCATTCATTGGTCTAGCGATGTCTGAGAACCCGAAGATAAATCTTCTGTAGAAGTTGGCGAAGCCCATAAATGCTTGGATATCTTTGACGCATTTAGATACAGGCCATTTCATTACTCCTTCTACTTTTACAGGGTCCATTCGAACACCACCCTTTTCCACTATCAACCCGAGGAACTCGACTTCTGTCTGTTCGAAGCTACACTTTTCAGGCTTCAGATACAGATCATTCTCTTTTAGTCGTTTTAGTACCTCTCGTACAACTTTTCGGTGTTGCTCCCTATTGCCATTCGTGAATACGAGGATATCATCGATATAGACAACTACGGTCTTTCCATCAATTAAATCTCTGAATATCTCGTTCATCATGGTTTGAAACGTGGCAGGGGAGTTTGTTAAACCGAAGTACATCACAGTTGGTTCATGGTGACCAAACGGCGTTTTGAAGGCCGCCTTCCACTCATCTCCTTCTTTCATGCGAATATTATTGTACCCCCATCTTACATCCATCTTGGAGTACATCGTGGCACCGGTTAAAGCATCAATCAAATCTTGAGATCTCGGTAGCGGGTATGCATTTTTAACCGTCTTCTCATTGAGCTTTCTATAGTCCATTACCGGTCTTAATTTGCCATCTTTCTTGGCCACAAAGAAGAAAGGTGCTGCCACTGGAGATTGTGAATTTCTTATACGTCCCAGTGCAGTCTCGGCTTTTAACCAATCTTTCAAAGTGTCCATCTCCTTGGGTGATAAGGGATATGGTTTCGCATTTGGCGGAAGATCGCCATCATCTTTAAGATCTATCACATGATCCCACTTCTTTCTTTCAGGGAAGCGCTTAGATTCTTCTTCTGAGAAAACTCCCAGGTACTCGTGAAGCCAATCGGGAACCATCTCTTCGACCGATTTCTTCACTTTTGTTGCTTCTTCTGCAACCTTCTGCTCCGTGGCAACCGAGGCTTTATATTTGATCCATTCTCCAGGATACTCTTTGTCTTCTATTTCCTCAACTGTCGCCCTTTTCATCGCCATGTCTTCTTCGTCATCCTCTTCTGTGGGAATCAGATCTGGCACTTCTTCTATCTTTTTTTGTTCTTTTCTTTTTTCTTTATTTTTTTGTCTTTGTTCTTTTTTAGTAATACATTTAACCAGGCAACGAGAAAGTGCAAAACGTCCAGCGTTCCAATCTATTTCCGGGTTGTGATATCTTAGCCAATCTATGCCAATAATAACATCATCGCTTCCTAAGTCTGTAACCATGAAGGCTGCTTGATCCTCAACATGATCACCGATCTTTAGACCTAATTCTGCGTAATGAGTCATCGATCCAGCGGCATTTAACGAGCCATCAATATTTTTAACCGGAATGGGCCTTAATAATTTATGGCACCGGACTTCGTTCTTTTTCACAAACTTTTCGCTAATAAATAATGTTGATGCACCGCAATCTACCAGTGCTTTCACATCTGCTTGTCGGTTCTTTCCCTTCAACGTGATCGGAATGTAAAAATGTTCAGATTTGGATTTAATATATACTTCTGATACATCCGAGAACGTAGATAGGATGGAGAAACGATTGTTCGGGTCTAAGTTCGCAGACTTTGACTTCGACCCCTCTAAAAACCCTTGCCTTCCTTGGAGCTGACCCAAGCTTTGAACCAACTTGGAATAGGGTCTTCTTCTTTTGGCACTGTAGTAGCCTTCACCTGCACTTTTGGTGCGACTGCGTCTTTGCAGTTTCTAGCCATATGGCCTTCGCCTCCACAGCGGTAGCATTTGAAGGATCCAGTCCTTCCTTGAGGTTTTGGAGCACCTCGCTGCTTGTTGGCGTCGACGTCCATAGCGTCGCTTTCCCTGCTTGGACCAGGTTTGTATTCAGGGGTCCTGGGGCCTTGTTTAGGGGTCCACCAGGTCGTCTTCTTCTTGTCCGCATCTAGCTCCTCGAAGTTGCGTCCGATTTGGATCGCATGTTCCACCAGTTTCCTCATGGTGTTTTTGTCCTCGTAACGGACATGAGCAAGCTGTATCTTGACACGGTCTTGAAGTCCCATTCTGAACTTCTGTCTCTGGTCATAGTCGGAAAATGAAGTATGTGCGGCCTTTTGTCTGAAAGCGGCCGCGTACTCTGGAACTGAGGAAGATCCTTGTCTAAGGGATTCCAGTTCTCTGATTGCTTTTCCTTCACGATCTTCTTGCCCCCACATGGCTTCTAAGTCTTCCAGGAATTTCTCCACGGTCAACTTCTCGTCTCCGGTCTTTCCAAGTTTGGTGATGTAAGGTTGCGCCCATTTGGCTGCAGTGCCTTTCATGAAGGAGAGCATTACTCCGATCCTTTGGCCTTCTTGAATGTTGGGCCATTGCGCCGTGTATAGCGCTACTTGGGATATCCAGACCATGAGTTCTATGGAGTCCTTTTCTCCAGTGAAGTCTTGGGGTTTGGAGTATTTGATGGAAGGGGAAGAGTTCGATGAAAGTAAGCTAGCTCCTGCAGAGCCGAAGGATGGTTGTTGAGATTGTATCTTTACAGTCTCGTCTTCTTGCATTTCTAGGCGTACGCCCAGGAGTCTGTTTGCTTCTTCTAGAGCCGCATTCTTGGCTTCTAGTTCTGCGATCCTGACCCTGAAGCTGTCCGCTTGATTTGCAAGTGACATATGGATGTACTCGACAATTTCCTGTGGAGTAGATGGTAATACCACCGGCTGTGCAGGCTGTGTAGGAGAGTTTGGTAATTCAGACATAGTGCCAGTTGTATTCTGGAACCCGATTCACTGATGTCTGTTTTGAAGAGCTGCTCGTAAGGGCTCTTCCGGAAGGGAATGATGGTGAAAAGAAGAAAGTTATGTAATGGAAAACTGAAGCGGTCCCCGATATCTGATCGGATCTACCACATACTTCAGGATCGAAGGGTTCTTTAATCAACCCAACCGATGCTTCCCTAATACTAACTAAAAAGAATACGTAACTATACTCGATCGAGTGGGAAAAACTAGGGACAATGCAATCTCCGTTCTGAGGGTACAAGCCTAGGACAAGTTATCACTCTTCCAGCCGAAGCTTACAAGTGCGAGTCTCACTAGGTTATGTCGCTAAATCCTCGTAGGTCGAAAGCACGGTTTGTCGTCTAGACAGTTCTGCTATTGACTCGAAACGAATGCCTATGTGCGTATGAAGAAAGGAATAGGTAAAATGAAACTATAGTAACGTTGAGCAGGCAGGGTTTTGGGCCAGCACTCAAAGTTGCAGTGACATGCCTAATGTTGTGAACACCTCCGTATACTGGCAGCTGCGGTAAGACAGGGCCTGGTATAGGACTACTAACTAAGAAAGATGATAGGTAGGAAAATGCGCTCAAATGAGCAAAGGGATGAAACAAAGGATCACAGCGGTTAAGCTGGGCAAAAGTATAACGGTTCTGTTTTGGCTGATGGTGTGAAGATGACTTCCAACACGACCAGGCGAAAGAGAAAGAGATGCGAGAGTGTAACGCAAGAGTCGGAGTCTCCTATAGTTCAAACCTAATGTCACAACCCAATAACGAATTAACGCTGGGCAGAGACTAGGACTCAAACAAAGAATAATCACACAGAGGAAGTAGGCAGCAGGTACGTCTTGGTATTGCTCACTTGGAGATACAAGAGGTTTGAACTAAAGAACTACTGACTACGACGAGCTACCTATATACACATATTGAAACTGAGATCGAAACTGAGTATGAACTAACTAACCAATCAGAATAATTAAAGGTATCGTACGATTCTATATATAACTATGATGTCATAACATGTGCCGCAGCCGCAGTAAGACTCTGGAACATTCCAAGAGTATTGCGAGGCATGACATCAACATCTTCGGCATTGTCCGATAGATCACGTGACTCTGGTAATTCTACAATAGACGCAATAATAGGAACTTCTTCAACAGTAAATACATTTTTAGGAACAGGCGCTGTGACTGGGCGCTTAAAGGACTTAGAATTAAGGAACGAATAATGATTTGTATTTGGAACTCGTGACAAGCATACATCATGATGAGTGCTGCGATCAAGGGGGACATAGTGGACAGGGCTGCGTGAATTTGGGACTCGTATGCCTGTGATTTTGCACATGCGACAAGGGGAATACCCATTGTGGCCTTTGATCTGCATGACCATAGATATTGCAGGCATATCTCCACTGATGATGATGAGGTAGGCATGCAGTGCAAACAGGACAATTTCGAGTGCATCAAATGCATGCACACCTGCTGCAAGTTTCATCAATTCCTCGACAAGAGGCCACAGAAACGAGTTGAAATCCTTTGGCTTCTTTGGCTCAGGAACAACGCCAGCACATATGATATTTTGCTTGTGGAAACAAGTTTCGGGGGGGAGGTTGTAGTTGTAGAGGATAAGTGGCCAAGTGGTGGTTTTTTGACCTCAGAATGGAGCAAAACTGTCCGTGGCAAGGCCAAGTGCAATGTCTCTCAGATCACTAAAGTGGTTGTGTGCAAGTTCGTGGCCATTGACACTCACTTTTTTGGCAAGTAGTTTTTGATATAATGAGCCATCAAACATGTCAGTGATGTTCCCCGGCTGATGTGAATGTCCACGAGTGCGATATCTCATTTCTGTAGCTGATTGTCGATTGGCATAGAGGGCTACAAGATGGGGAATGATGGGAATATATGTGAACTGTTTTTGTGGTAGACCAGATGGTGTGCGACAGGGAGCTGAGCAGTGTGGACACCTATCCAGGTCTTCAATAGGCCCAACGAAGCAACAGCATGAATTGATGCAACAGTCATACCGGGCAGGTGATAACCCAGCAAGAAATGCAACACGAGCCCTTGTCTGCTTCAAGCTTGGCAGCTGGATATCAGGAAATGCAGATGGAAGCATGTTAAATGCCTCTTTGGTGCTTTGACTTCGCACCTTGTAAGCAAATGCACAAAGAACATGTTTATCATAGGAGCTGAGGTCGTCTCCTGAAAATCCACTTGTGAGCTGGTATCCATGGATGTCATGTTGACAGCATACCCATTTCATACAGTTCTCATTCGACATTCTCCCCCATGAACTCATCTTCAGGATCACTTTCAACACCAATATTGCAGTCCCCATCAGAATCAGAATCAGAATCAGCTTCATCATCCAAGTTGCCCTCTTCCTCATCATTTGAGTCCAAATCATGACCTCGCACGACTGATTTTGCAGTAGCCAAGGCTGCCTGGACTGGATCCTCATATGGTTCAACTTGAAATTGATCGTCGTAACTAATGTCATAGTCAGCATCAAGATCCTGGGTCTCAAGGGTTGTCAGACATG